ATTTCCACTTTAAAGCGCTCCTGTCTGTCACAACAAATCTATCTCACTAAGCCCTGCGACAGCAGTGCAGATCAAGCCTATTTTATTTTCTCTCTCGTTTTTTCTGTGATCTTGTGGCACATTCATGTTCTCCAGCAAACAAGAGATGAAATACTACAAATACAAGCTCTGTCAGAAGCACTCTATGCTATCTCCAGAAGAAACAGAAAACTCTCATTGCACAAACAGGGCTGCAGTCACGGCCGGCTGTGATGGAACGAGACGGCTGTTGGTTCAACACGGCGAAAATATATGACCACCCTGGCCTCTGCAGTTTTCTCTGTAAAACGCAGCTATTAAATGCATCTATAGACATTGTAGCACATCCTTGGTTTGGCAAAAGCTAGGGAAAATGACCTGATGCATGCTGAATTGGCTAGATTTGATTTTTGTTGCCATAGCAATCAGTAAAGCGCTAAAGGCTGTATATCTGGGTTGGTGGGAGCTGCAAACACAATGGGAGCTCTGTGCATTCTGAATGTGTCTCTCAGCTGTGCTGTTTTCTCACCTGTGGAAAGATCTAGAAAGGAATTAGGGGTGCACAGAACTTGTTTCTATTTTGCAGCACGTACCTATTTTCAAAATCGACTAGTCAGTGGAATGCTTCACTGTCCAGTTCCCATAATCCTGATGCGACCCATTTGTAAAGGGGGTTCTGAAAACACATGTTCTGGTGTTCAATTAAGAAAAAAATAAAAGCTGGATGGAGTATATCAGAAATGACAAAGAACGCAGTTAAAAGTGCTAATAAAGTAAAAAAAATAATAACAACAAAAAACACAAATTTTCAACCAGGACATATCTTAAAAGTAATAATAATGAAAAATAATAATAATAAATCATAATAGTAAATAATCTATTTACTACTTGTCTAGCTTTTTTGTTTTAAATTAATCAACATTATTTTCCATTAAGTATTATACTACTTACTGATGTAAATTATTAAATGTTTTTTCTTCCTCAATTCAAGCTCCTGTTTCATTATATATTAAGAATGAGGAACAAGACAAAGAAAAAAAATTATGAATTAAAACAAGAAATTGGAATAAGCTGGATAATATTAAAACAATAAAATAAAAAATATATTCTCAAATAATACAAAGACAAAATAAAAAATAAACAAAATGTTTCAGTTCACATAATCCCAATGCAAAAACTTATATATATATAACAATGCATTGGAGTATAACAATGCAGAATGCAATTAAAAGCATTATTAAAAAACAAAACAAAAAAACAACAACAACACTATTTTCAACCAGGACATGCTCTCTTAAAAAATGCAACACAAGAACGGTACAAAGGAATTAAAAAACAACAACATTTGTACAGTTATAAAATATGTAAATATTTTATTAGAAATATATTAAATATTTTAAATATTAAATACTTTTTAAAATTAATTTAGATTAATCTGATTATATACATTTTATTAACTGAAGTAATTCATATAAAATAAATATAATTATACATATTTGTTGTAGCCTACATATTACTCTAATGACAATCCAACTGTTAAGACACCCATAGATATTTAAAAACTATTAAAATAATTGACATCGTTTTTTCAGACAAAGGCTAACTTAAAATGATCATTTTCAATTTTCAACCTAGTGTGCCTAGAATTTTCTGTTTCAGCTTTTCACTTTGGTGCATCACTACTTCTAAAAAAGGCAAGGGAAGCTAAGATCAATGCTGGCAAACGGCTCCATCAAAGATCACAGCTGGCATTAAGCTTAAATTGACTGAAATCATTAGCACTACCGAGTCACCGGAAAAAGATGATGGCGAGGCAATGCAAAGAATGATACAGCAGTCATGAGTGATGACCGATCGCACCGATTTGCATTGAAGACGCAGCAAAAATCCTTGAAGCCGTAAAGCCTTAAAGTGGGTTCAACAGAGTCAGCAGATAAAGGCAGGACGCATCCATATTTACAGGCCGGCAAATAAGAATGCATAAACATAAACCAGGCCTTTAGGACTTCACAGCTCTTGGGCTTCAAGCATTTAGACAGGAACACTATTAAAACAAACCTGAACAAGAGCGATGCAAAGTTCCCAGCAACAAACAATTCATCTATTTACACTCAACGTGAAACTACTGCGCAAGACGAGACTCAATCACAGGCAGCCAATCAGAATAAACTACATGTTTAACGTTACAGTTGTGAGGAGCAGTATTTGGACCAATGAGATTTCACAATGAGCTGGAAGTGATCAACAAATAGTTTACTAACAGGGCAAATTAGCGAATGTTCAAATTACAAAAAACCCCTGAAAAAATACTAAAATAATGATTGAGACTAAGGTGCCTCAACAAAAGCCTGATTTTAATCGCAATTTAAATTTCTACAAAATAAAAAAGACATTAAGTGGTTTTATTTCCTGATTAGACTGCAAAAAACCTACATAGATTCAAACAGATTTGGGCAAAAAATATGATTTTTGAATAATTCCGAAATATCCTGTCAGACGTCGTGTACAGAGCTAGTTAGGACAAAAACAATTTAGATGCAAGAGAAAGTTTTTTTGTGCACATCACTTTTTTGCATCTTGCCTGGGTAGCCAAACTATCTTTGTTTCTTTCCTGAGGGTGAATGACAGAACCGCCGTAAGCTATTGGAAGGTGCATCTTAAATCAGGTCTTAGAGTAAAGTAAAGGAATAAGTTGGAAACTAAATAAGGCGTCCAGCGCAAGTAATTGGGTGTCCAAGAATAAGAAGCAGAAGGGACATTCATAATGGATTTGGTTAGGAACGTACGACTAGCGTTGTGTACATGTGAGCGAGAGACTCAAGTAAAAGCCCAGAGGAAGCAGTCCTGCATCCACCAGCTGCTTCTTCTGATTTCACACTTCATTGGCCTCATTAATGTGGAGCTGAACCACACGCCTGTGGAGACAAACGGCGAGATTAGTCTTCGCCATTCTCCTACTCCTACTCTCTCATGCTTTTCCTAATGTCGTCTCTCTCTCTCACACTTCTGCCTTTCTCGTTCACCGGAAACTCTGTGGCCACCATGGAGCAAACTTTCTGGAGGAGAAACTGCGTTTGCAGCCTGCGGAGAAGATCAGGGGAAATATGAGCTGCACACAGGCAGCGCTGGCCATTATAGCAAGAGTTGGAGGAAGATCATGGTTACATCTCAAAAACACCTGCTAAGAAACCACTCTAAGCACACACCATGCACAATATTTAGCCATAAAAAAAGACACAAATCCTTTAAAAACTCAACTAACTCTGGAATGGGTGTCTCTACAAACTTTCAAGATCCAAAAAAGTACCATAAAAGTATCATAACAGTGGTCTATATGACTTCTCACTGAAAATTGTGTTTTATGGTGCTGTTATGCTTTTGGAGCTGTAACATTCTTCAGAATATCTTTTTGAAGGAAGTTATACCAGCTGAGTAAATGACGACAATTTAAAATTTTAGGTGAACTTTAAAAAAAATAAAATAAATAAAATAAAAATTAAAAGAAAAAAAAAGTGTGGGGTCCGCAAGATTTTTTTTCATATTTTTTGAAAGAAGTCTCTTATGCTCATCAAAGCTGCATTTATTTGATCAAAAATACAGTAAAAATAATATTGTGAAATACTATTGCAAGTTAAAATAACTATTCATATGTATATTTTGTAGAAACCATGATACCGTTTTTTTCAGGATTCTTTGATGAACAGAAAGTTCAAAACAACAGCATTTAAAGGAATAAAATGCTGAATAAAAGTATTCATTTATTTATTGCATTTATTCTTATTTATGAATTAATTTATTTTAAAACATGTTACTGTCCCCAAACGGTAGTGTACATAACTGGTGAAGTAAAAGAAGAGATTCTGACACATTCAGTCGAAGCTTTGATGGATTTAGAAATCATCAGGGCTTCTTCAACGGCTATAAACGCTGACACAAGATAAAAAATTAAAATAAACTCAAGTACAAACAGACGTTTTTCCTGGGAGACACCAGCTTTGTCAGCACAACTAATTAGGAACAACCCCTCTTGCAAGTCTTATAAAAATACAACTGGGATAGAATTAACAGCGTCTATACATTCTCATTTCATCTCATCCAGTCTGTCAGCACGCAAAATCACATTTGACCCCCAGAGAGAGAACGGTTGTCAGTAATCATTTTGCAGTAATGAGCATTTCTCCAAGATTCTTGACAGATCGATAAACTATGTTGCTGATTTTTACAGGAGGACTTGACTAAACAAACCACAAGGAAACCAGAGCAGCGTTATCGAGTAGGAATCCTGACGTGATGCTGACCGATGAAATAAAAACACCAAAATCTACATCCGTGACGGCAATGAGCATGATTCTGAAGTGTAGAGCAAAAACATTCATTTTTGTCAGGGCGAGCATGTCAAGCAATGCAATGAAAGCGAAAACGAAGAGTGGGCAGCTCTTTGCAAGCGTAAGCACTATAGTAACAAGAAACTGTTCATTTAAAAGTCAAAGTTCAATGTCAATATGGCGGATAAAGTATATAATACGCATCTGATCGTATTTCAAATTCAGTTCCTACTAGTACTAGGAATTCAAAGGAAGCCTAGGTGTATGTGGTGGTAGACAGACAATGCTGGAAAACATACACACACACACATGCAGGTTTGTTTTTGTGAAAAGTGGGGACATCCCATAGGCGTAATGGTTTTTATACTGTACAGACCGTATATTCTATTGCCCTACACCAACCCTACCCCTAAACCTACCCCTTACAGGAGACTTTGTGCCATTTCAGATTTTCAATACACTCCATTCTGTGTGATTTATAAGCGTCTTGAAAAGTGGGGACATGGGGTAATGTCCTGAAAAGTCACCTTCTCCTTGTAATACCTATGTCATACCTTTGTCATTATACAAATTGATGTCCTCATTTGTCACAAAAACGCGCACGCGCACACACACACACACACACACACACACACACACACACACAAACAAACAAACCTCAGACGCAGCAGCGGTTTCCTGAGTATGCTTGACCCCAGCCTCTGGCCCTCGCAGAGTCTGCAGGAAGAGGGCGGCTTTCCTCTTGCGCTCAGCCTGAAGCTGCCTCTCTTTGGACTCTTTGGAGGCCTGGGCCAGTTTCTCTCTTGCTGCGGCTGCTAACCGGTCCTCCAGCTTCTGTTTGGCTGGAAGAGAAAAGGGAAGAAAGGTCAGACACACACATTTGTCCTGATACACACCATATGCTCTGACAACTAAAAGCATGGGAGCTTGCGTGCATAAGTGCATTGTGTTTCTGCTGCTAAGCAAATGTAAACATTTCTAAATGAGGCTGCTCGTGACTTACCTGGTTTGGTAAGCCAGCACGCCTCATAAAAACTGTATGGAGCTTAAAAAGCTACAAGATAATGCGTCGGATTTTAATGTTTCGCATCTATCGCGATAGAAATATCCTTTCTGACATGAACTCTCTGTTTAGGTGTTAAATGCTGCCAGGCTGCGGATTGTATAACTGTCGACGGTGTCTCGGTACTCATGTATAATTTTTCAGTTTTTGTTCATGAGAACAGTAATAACAAATGGAAAATGGGGGAAAAAAACAAGTCATTATATTATACAAGAACAAGAAGAGGGCCCTGTCAGTGTCCGCACTAAAAATAGGCCCCCTGCCACGGACAATCACATATAACTCGGGAACAAACGCAACTGGAGAGAGAACAGAGGTTTCTCCTTCATTATGTCACTGCGAGTGAGATAATACTATGTGTAACAGTGACAAAGAAAGAGGAGTTGGGAAAGAAACTTGTTTGAGATGTCCCTCAATCAGCAAAGCTCCTTCCAACAAGTATTTCGACAGTCACAAGTTATTTGCACTGCCTTGAAACAAAAGCAATCTTGAAGCTTTGCCGTCCTGTTACAATTTAACCTAATCCTCTGTTAGTGCAAGGCATTGTGTCCTCGCCTCAATGAGAGAGCTCAGAGACAAACCACAATGAAATGAAGAGAAGCTACTCTTAAATTATTTCAGATGTTCCTGAAAGAGAAAAGAAAGGAAAGTATTGTACATATTACTTGCACATTATAACAAATGTCTTTAAATAAATAAATAAACAACTTATGATTCATATATATTGATTCATATATATATATATATATATATATACAGTGGGGCAAAAAAGTATTTAGTCAGCCACCAATTGTGCAAGTTCTCCCACTTAAAAAGATGAGATCTCATTTTGTCTCTCATAGTTGAGGTATACCTATGATGAAAATTACAGGCCTCTCTCATCTTTTTAAGTGGGAGAACTTGCACAATTGGTGGCTGACTAAATACTTTTTTCCCCACTGTATATATATATATAAAAATGAAAAATGTTAGTTTAAGTTAAAGTATTGCTAAAATTAAAGCTATAGCTAATGTAAATATATAAAACAAACAAAGTATTTTCGTTTTCGCAACGAAACACACAGCACCTTCACAACATGGCGGTGGCAGCAACAATAAAGTTAGGCCTTCTTTCTTTGCGTGAACATTTGGGTGGCGTTATGCAAAACTTCCCACATCGTGACGTAGACATGTGGGGGGGCATGTTTAAACGAGACGTTTTAGGAGGGCGTGGATGAGTCTTAACTTTTATAAAGAATATCTCTTTGGGTTTGAGACTTTAGTCTTTGCAACTTTAGGGATCTTATCTAGTCACGAACAGCTTGTAACACTCCAAAGAGAAAGGAAAACTTGAAATCGCATCATATGACCCCTTTAAAATGCATCGAAGTTGCAAACAAATCAAGTCATATGTAATTCATTTGTCTTTATATTATTGACCATTTTTGTCTTTTCAAAACGCCTGTGCGCATCTCTAGAAAAAGGACTGCAATAACGTTATACATAAGTGACAAGCCTTTTCAATGCAACCCACAGCACTCAACACCTGTAATTTGCTTGTGGCATTTCTAAAAGCAATGACTCTAGTAATTTTCTGCATTTTCCTGCAAATTTCCCTTTCTCTCGCATAATTTCTTATCTGCATACTTCAGAAGTCAATCTGCAATCGAGGCAGCAAATAACATTTCGACAAAATCCAATAAGGCTATGTTTTGAGGTTTAATTTTGAAACTACAATTTGTAATATAAACAGGTAAGCTCTGGTAAACACGCAAGGGGTGTAAATTCTTAAAGGGCTGCAACCACAAGAAACAGCAGAGTCGACCAAATAAAACTCCCACTCATGATCATGCAAACTTTTCACGCATTCAGTAAATAAACTAAAGGTAATAGATGGACACATGAAAACAGACTGAGCGTTGATTCTTTAACAGCTCATCAATACAGATTATGTTCCTCCGGATGGGTCGATAGTCATGCAATCTAAGCTAGTTTGCCACTGAGTGAGGCCTTCTTTGCTGCAGTGCCATTTATTTCACTTCCTCATGCAGTAAACTTCCTCTGGGCATCTGGTCTTATTACTGTAATTACCCCTGCGTTCCAGAAGCATTACTGCCCAGCGCTCGGCCGCAGTGTCTGCCCTGTGCAATCCAGTGTCAGTGATGAGATTTAAATAAATTCATTTTTAATGGGGAACAAGAAAACCAATGCAAAGTCTGCATGTTATAACGAAAGGTGCATCTCTTGTTAAACAAATAGTTCACCCAAAGTGAACATCTGTCATCATTTCTTCTCCCTTGTGTCGTTCCAAACACTATGACTGACTTTCTGTCTTCCATGAAAAATGAAATATTGAACAATATCCTGGGCTCAACCCTTTTCCATATAATGAAAGTAAATGAGGACTGGAGCTGTCAAGCTCAAATATGAGTTTGGAATGCCATGAGGGTGAATAAAGGATGCAGAGCTTTATTTTTTTTATAAACTATCCAAAATATACTAATTAATTATTATAGCAAAAGCATCATATATACACTACCATTCAAAAGTTTAGGGTTGGTATGTTTTATTTGTTTTATTTTCTTAAGAAATTAATATTGATAATTTTTTTATTAATACTGACATATTGAATAAATTATATTTTTAATCAGGGTCTTTAAAGAGATAATTTTCTGGTCCCCATTGACTTCAATACTATTTCTTTTTCTTTAACTATGGAAGTTAATGGAGACCAGCAACTGTTTGGTCAGCCACATTCTTCATAATATCTTCCTTTGTGTTTAACAAAAGAAAAACTCATACAGGGTTGGAACAAACTGAGGGTGAGTGAACAATAAGATTTATTTATTTAAATTTTTTTTGTGAATTATCCTTTTAACTGATAAAAGTATCAGTAAAGACTTTTAAAACATTACAAAAAAAATCGATTACATAAAAATGGTTCTTTTAAACTTTCCATTCATCAAAAAATGAATGTCAAAAAAATGTTTCCAAAAAATGTAAGCAGCACAACTGTTTTCTAGTGCTGTCAAACGATTAATCGCATCCAAAATAAAAGTTTTTGTTTACATAATATATGTATGTGTGCTGTGTTTATTTATTATGTATATATAAATACACACACATACAGAATATATTTTGAAAATATTTACATGTATATACATTTATATTATTATTATTATTAAATATATAAAACAATTTCTTAAATATATACATGCATGTGTTTGTATTTATATATACATAATAAATATACACAGTATACACATATTATGTAAACAAAAACTTTTTTTGGATGTGATTAGTCGCGATTAATTGTTTGACAGCACTACCGTTTTCAATATTGGTAATAATAATAAATGTTTCTTGAGCAGCAAATCAGCATTTTAGAATGTAATGGCTGCTGAAAATTCAGCTTTGTCATTACATGAATAAAAAGTAAAAGTAAAAAAAAAAAAAAATGTTATTGTTTTTTAATCAAAAAATTAAAGACTTTTTTCAAAATTTTTAACAGCACTACCGTTTTCAATATTGGTAATAATAATAAATGTTTCTTGAGCAGCAAATCAGCATTTTAGAATGTAATGGCTGCTGAAAATTCAGCTTTGTCATTACATGAATAAAAAGTAAAAGTAAAAAAAAAAAAAAATGTTACTGTATTTTGATCAAATAAATGCAGACTTGTTTCAAAAATCTTACTGACCCCAAACGTTTGAATGGTAGTGTAGTTGGACCGAAAATTTCATGTTTTTAGGCAAAAAAACACATTTACAATCTCTCACGCACATCTGCAGATCTCATATCCAGTGTAGACGCTGTCGGTATCTTTGATTGAGAAGTGTCCTTCTCGTTTTTATCTGTGTGAAACACTCGCATAATTACAGGGGACAGTTACTGCCGCTGCTGAGCGTGGTCCATATGGACAGATCTATTACATTAGATCCCTGGCCCTCGCCGGAGTAATTTAATGTGCTGCCAGTCATCGTGATGCGACAGTGATCAGATCAGCTCACTATTTTAAGTCTCCAAGGGTCAAAAGAACAATGAAGCAAAATCCGGTAACTCTTGGCCTAATGTGATCATGATAAACTACAGCTTGTTTCTCAATATTTCTTATCTTGTTACAGTAAAAGTCTGGCTTCTAAGCTTCTGGCCAGTGAGAAATTACATTTGGGCTGCAACAATTACGGTGAGGGAAATCAACATGAGTTATTTTTGTAATACTCCACAAACTGACTCTGATCTTTTCTGTTTGAACAATTTTTTCAGAACATTTACAAAAGAACAGCCTTGAAAACAGCAGACAAGGAATTATTTCAATTATGATACACTTATGAAACTTAACGTCTGAACTCTACAGACAGCGATTCAAGTCAAAAACATGCTAATACGCTTCACATTTAAAAAGATGGACAAAGGTCCAGAATAGAGTCTAGTGGTTTTAAAGGGACGGTTCAAAAATTAACAACAGATTTAATGTTTTTCCAACCCCCTTAGACTTCTTCATTTTGAGAAATACTCTACCCACTCTTTTCCACATAATGAAAGTGAGCAGAGACTTTGAAATTCAAAAATATTCAAAAGAGTGACATTAAATTGAAATAATCCTTCCTTCCTTCTTTACTTATTCTTTCCTGCCTTTATTCCTTTTTATGCTTCCTTTGTTCTCATTCTATTTTTCCCCTCTTCCTGTCCTTAATTTCATCCAATCTCTTCCATCATTCTTTCTTCCTTCCTTCCTTCCTTCCTTCCTTCCCTCTTCCTGTTCCTTTTCTCTTCCCATCCCATTCTTCTTCCTTCACTTTTTCCTCTCTTCCCTCTTCTTCATTCTTTTTCTCCATACTTTCCCTCCATCTTCCTGTTCTTTGTTACTTGATCCATACTTTCTTCCCAACCATCATTCCTTTCTTCACATTCTTTCTATATTCCCTCTTACCATTCTTCCCTCTTACTTCCTGACCGACCTTCCTTCTGTTCTTTGTTCCTTGATCTTTCTTTTCCTTCATGTTTCCATTTCCCTTCCTCCTATCTTCCCTATTTCTTTCCTTCATATCTCTCTTCCTGTGCTTCATTCTCTTTCATCCTACCTTTTTTCCCCTCTTCCTGTTCTTTGTTCTTTCTTCCCTCCAATATTTATTTTTTCCTCCTTCCTGTTTTTTGGCCTTCATTTCTCCTTTATTTCCATTCCTCTTATTTTCCCTCTTTCTGTAATTCATTCATTCTTTCTTCCTACCGCCCTCCTCTCTTCCGGTTGTTGTTTCTTCATCCTTCCATCCTTCATTTCTGTTTCATTTGCATTCCTCATATCTTCTTTTTCTCTTTCCTTCATTCTTTCTTCTCTTCAACCTTCCTTTTCTCTCTTTGTTCATTCCTTTTTCCTGCGTTCCTTTCCTTTTCCTGTTTTATCCTTCCTTCCTTCTTCGCGTATTTCATTTCTCCTTCCTTCTATTCTTTCCATCTTCCTTTACTCTCTTATGTCCGTCCTACCTACCTACCTTACTTCCTTCCTTTTTCCTGTCCTTTGTTCATCCCTCTTTCCTTCCTTCTGCAGATTTAAATCTTGGTGAATTTTGTCATTTAAAGCTACTATGACTTCAGACTTTAGCACACGATTCCACAGAGTTTGGAACAACAAGCAGGTGAGTAAATGCTGACAAAATGTTTATTTTTGAGTGAAATAATTCTTTAGTGAAGATTTTGAAGTACCTTGTTTGGCCTCTAGCTCTTCCTGGGACAGTACCGGTTTCTTCTCCTCAGCCAATGGAGGTTGGGGTGGCTCTCTGGTGGCTGCTTCGACCAATCCTATCGCCAACTCCACTCCCTCTTTTTTTTTAAAAATGAGAAAGGGGGGGGGGGGCACAGGTTACTCCATTCTTATTTAAATATAAATATATATTTAAAATCAGAAGCTGAATCATTCAAATCCTTATGATTCCCATCGCTACTCCTGCATAAAGAAGAAAACTGCTGTGAATTCCAAGCGCTCTCCTGAGGAGTCCATTTGTTTCTGCCTGTTTGCTCTGCTTTACAAATGAGAACTTCAGTGTGCTTTGGTTCTCAGAGAATCCTTCGTTGAAGACCACTGCTGTCTACTTACATCACTGAATTAATATAAAAAACAAATCAAGGGTTGTTCTAAAATCTCCCCCTGTGAGCGATATTACTTCTTCAGCCTTGGGTTTCCTTAAACACATTCTCCCCTGTAGAGATGGTGCCATACAGAGTGTGTTCATCCTCTCATATAAAGGCGGTAATCCCATAATCCTGTTTATGGGTAAAGTCAGCAGAAGAAACGCATGCTGATGGACCATGGCATGTGGAAGTAGCTCTATAAAAGCAAAACACGGATGAGCAATGTGACTATGGGAGAGTTAGCACGCTGTAATTTTAGAGTATGATGGTAGGTGTCACTCATGAAGGCTTACGAAGAGATGTGACGCCATGGGAATTATGATTCTGCCATCATCTCTAAGAAAAAAAACGATCTGCCCATAATCAAATACACTTAAATCAGACTACTCACTAACAAAATTGCTCACTTCACACAATGTACACCTCAGAATATTCAGAGTTCACATCTCAGCCCTATTCCCTTCATGCCACTGATTCCTTTTCACATTGTATTAATTGGTTCTGAACAGCGGCAAAGTTGCGTCATTAAGACAGTTCAACCATGAATACTAGCGACAGCTGTTTAGCTCTGTAGCTAGGTAACAAATGTGAAGGGAAGGCATCAAAAATAGATTTTTTTCTGCTTCAACACTAACTGCGGTTACTGAAACCACGCCTTCTTTCTTTGCGTGAACATTTGGGCGGCATTATGCTAATATTTCCACATAGTGAGGTAGATATGTGGGGGCGTGTTAGAACGAGCCGTTTTAGGGGGGCATGGCAGAGTCTTAACTTTTATAAAGAATATCTCTTTGGTTTTGAGACTTTAGTCTTTGCAACTTCAGGGATCTTATCTATGCACAATCAGCTTGTAACACTCCAAAGAGAAAGGAAAACTTGAAATCGCATCATATGACCCCTTTAAAACCTTTCTGTCACATTAGGTTACATGCTGCCATTCAAAACACCATCAACTGCAAGACAACAATGTTGATAAATGTTCGAGCAACAGTATTGCTGTATCTCATCTTATTTGAAGATGCTTCAATATTTCAACTGACTGCATAACATTTCAGTCCACATCATAAGCTGAAAAGTCATACCAAACATGATACAATTATGTGTTAAAACCTGTCATGTTGTAAGAAATGTACATTTACAAAAGCAAATGGTTGTGATCCGTATTACATGCTTATTGCATCTGTCTTGCATCAAAGATGCGAAGAGCATTAGCTGTTCACCTAAGCTTTTTTCTGCAGAGACAAGCAGCAACAGGAAAGGCTTTGGTGCTGTGGGACCGATGCCCCGCAAGTGCGGTTGTCATCAGTACATCATCAATATCAGTTTATTTGGGCAAATTAAACCAGAATGTTCTCCAAATCGAATCCCAGACTCTTCCTTAGTGAGGTTCCTCACATCCTAACTCAAACCGAACTGAAATTTGATGTCAAACAGACTGAAAACTCTAGAGTATCTTATACTGCAAGTAAAATGTTCACAAAACAGACTTTCTTCAGAGCAGTGGCAAAACCACTTTCGTAACAACATGTAAGGATTCTCTAAAAGTTCAGGTGGCAGAAAGCACAGAAAGTGACAGTTTTTAGACAACAAAAGTAGGTTTCTTATTTCAGAAAGTAAGAAGTAAAACAAAAGTGCATTCCACAACAAATGAAAAATACTGCTTTAAAGAAACTGGTGACTTATTTAGTGATGCTGCCCCTGTTCTCTTAATTATTCAGTTTAAATGAGCTGTTGGAGGCCTTGTGCACAGTTTGATTATTTTCACTAATCAAGCCATCAACGCATTGGCCTGAGGACGGTTGTCCTCTGCCGCCCTGTCACAGTGTTCCCTTCCTGCTCACAGAAAAGCAGGGCACTACAACAATGGATAAAAAAGCGACAAAACAAATTGGAATAACAAGGGATGGAAGGGTGAGGGAGGAGAGGTGCAAACGTGGTTCATTTCCCCAGAGGAGAATACAATAAAAGGCGGCAAACAAAGAAAGCAGGGTGACTGAAGCGCTCTTTGGCTCTTTCACCTCTTCAAAGGCGAGCTGAAGTACTGCAGACCGAGTGACGCAGGTAGTGACGATTCTCTCCGGCTAATCCATGATCAGCAGAGTTTACGCATCACGTTTTGGTAATGGTACGGTTCACTTGGAACCTCAACCGAGGTGGTACTAAAAAAAGTACCAGGTACTGTACCCAGTGGAAAATCCCCCAAAAGTGAACTGTACAAAGTGAACTGTCCGGAGCCGTACCATGCAGTGGAAAAGCGCCATATGGGTCAGAGAGCCCTCAGATTTCATCAAAAATATCTTAAATTGTGTTCCGAAGATGAATGAAGGTCTTACGGGTTTGGAACGACACGAGGTGAGTAATTAATGACAGAATTTTCATTTTTGGGTGAACTAACCCTTTAAGAAAGCTGGTGCATTTCAAAGTGTTAAAAAAGTCATCCATTGTGACCCACCTGTAATTTTTACAAACCGAAAAATAAAACTAAATAAGTATTTCAAAAATAACCGCAGAAACACTGGGGCGCTCATACTGTAACGCTGTAATCATCAAGGCTTTGATTACACACACTGGATAATTTTCTTTACAATTAGAACAGACATAATAATGGAGGTTATGGAGTACAAAATGCTAGGATTGACAGAGAGATTCTAATTACAGATACAATCTATAATTGATGAAGCAGATGCTCAAAGACAAAGACTCAGCTCATAGGCTTAAAACAGAGGTTGGGGTTTGCAAATATGCCTGCTTAATCACCACAGAATTTAACAGGAAGAGCTGCTGTTTGTTCTTGCACCGCCGCTAATGGCCTGGCAGTTGCAGTAATTACAGACTGTGCTTTTAAAGTAGGTACGAGAGAATATGGAAGTCTTGGGACTTGACAGAAAGCAGATACCCTGGTACCTCAGTTGGTCCTTAAGTGCACTATGTGAGACATGAGACAGGGCAAGATGAGAAGCAAACGTTGCAAGAGAGTGTAAGGAGAGGCACAGACAAAATGAAAGAAGAATCACGTGACACTGAAGACTGCAGAAAATTCAGTGTTGGCATCACAGGAATAATTCTATTTTGAAATAAATTCAATCGAAAAACAGTTATTTTGCATTTTTTAATTATTTCAAAACATTACTATGTTTTCCTTACAATTTATTTATTTATTTTTCTTAAAATAAATGCAGCCCTGCATAAGTGACTTTATTCAAAAACTTCAAATATCTTAAAGGGGTCCTATTATGATCTTTTACAAAGTCTTGATTTTGTTTTGGGGGTGTACTAGAACAGGCTCTCATACTAGGTTGCTCGAAAAACACATTATTTTTCACATATTTTACAGTATTACAACACCTCTCTCCCCAGTCTGACATGAACGGCTCGAATAGTTCCTGTATCAAATGAAGGCCCGCCTTCTGAAATACGAAATGCGCTGCGATTGGTTAGCTGGGCCAGTGTGAAAATATGCGTTGTAGTCCAAACGAGTCGTTCGTTGTAGTTTTTGAAAAGTGATTTCTGTTAAATAAAATATCTCCTTTTGAATTGGACTTTGAGCTTTGGAACTTTGCAGATCTTTTTTATGCTCAGACAGCAACATTACAGACTAACTAAAGTTGAAAAAGTGAAAAAGCATAATAGGACCCCTTTAAGTCCAAACTTTTGAATGCCAGTGTACAGAAACACAAAAAAATCTGACAACAATGGTATTAAAATTAAATTTGTTACCTCAGATCACTCAAATATGTGACCCTGGACCACAAAACCAGCCATAAGGGTAATTTTTGTTGAAATGAAGATTTATACATCATACATCAAGCTTTCCATTGATGTATGGTTTGTTAGGATAGGACAATATTTGGCCGAGTTACAACTATTTGAATTTCTGGAATCTGAGGGTGCAAAAAAAAAATCTAAATACTGAGAAAATCGCCTTTAAAGTTGTCCAAATGAAGTCCTCAGCAATGCATATTACTAATCAAACTAATAAGGTTTGATATATTTACGGTAGGAAATTTACTAAATATATTCATGGAACATGATCTTTACTTAATATCCTAATGATTTTTGGCATAAAAGAAAAATCAATCATTTTGACCATACAATGTATTTTTGGCTATTGCTACAAATATACTCGTGCAACTTAAGACTGGTTTTGTGGTCCAGGGTCACAAATATGGTACTCTTGAGGCTAGTCCAGCTAATCCACTTATAGACCAGCAATAGACCAAAATAAGCCTTTACCAATAAGCTAACTGACTGCTTTACATTAAAAAATGCATTCTTTCCTACAAAAGACTGACATCCTTTCCTACACCCACTATACTGAGCACAGCAATTTCCAATTCATTTTTCTGCAAGTGGTCAGTCTCCTCCTCCACATACCGCCTGTAATCTATATTCAAGACTCTGTGAATTTCATTCACTTTTTCATGCATTGTAAGTCACCAGAAACCAAAGGGAAGCTGCAGCCTTGGATGTACATAAAAAAGAGAGAGGGACACATGATCAAAAAATGGTTTAGCTGAGGTAAAAGTGACCTAGAGGGGGCTGTAAAGTGGCACGCAGCTAGAAATGTGCAGACAGCCTTTAAGCTCCACTGTCGTAGCTGAGATACTGGTGCTCGAAGGCATTTCTCAAAGTCACTGACATGTGTAGTGCACATCCATCTGCCAAAGTAAAACATGATGAGATTATTGCAGCCCTCTATTTTTTTAACCGCCTCCAGGTAACACCACTAATCATCGGAAAATATTCATAATTCTTTTGATTAAACAAAACAAGTGTAATAAAAAGCAAAACAATTTTCAAAGTAATATTTGGAAAATATTATATGTACAGAGGACATGTCTTTCACTTCCTACTGCCCTCAAAAACCACAACAAAGATAATTCCTGTCTTTCACTTTTCAGGTTTTCAAAGCAGAAACCATGCCAGAGGGTAAAAAATAAACACTTCTAAAAACGAAAGCTTTAATTTACTTTAATTTAAGAAAAAAACATGAAATATTGGCAGAGGCAAAAACTTGAAGAAAGAGAGCAGAGAAGATTTTTTAAAATTATTTAATAAAAAATGAAAGTCACATTTATTAAAAAATATCAAAGATTATATGTAAGGGATAACGCCATTCATTATCGCAAATTAAACCTCAAAAGGATGATCTGGATCCCAATGCAAAGTGGAGCGGCTTTGTAAGACCTTGAAGGGGTTTACTTTGCGATAATGACCAAACGAAAGTTGATTATTATATTGCTTAGATAGTTGCTTATAAATAAATAAAACCATAATAAATAAATAATAAAGACATGAAACATTGATCTAAGTTGAACTTATTTGAACACAAAAAGAATGCACTGTGCTTCGAGAGAGATGAAACTAGCTATTTAGGAAATTGGCTGCCAGGGACAACATTCACATACTGTATATAATCCAGTAGCCATTATACAAAAATATCAGCAAGATACTACGAATAATAATGAAGAATTCTAGAGAGCCATGTTATAAGCAGAGGATATGCTCTATTGCATTCTAGAAGAAAGCTCTGTGCAGTTCAACAAATCCTCCTAATGTATAAAAATAGCTGCTCAAGAGTGGAGGATGGAGGATCATTCTTGATCAAATTTTTAATAACATGTTATAATGTTTGTGAGGAAATGGGTATATATATATATATATATATATATATATAGTTGTTGGTGGTATAGATCCATACAACAAATGAAACATCAACCCGCTCCTTTCCATTACGTGCAATAAAAAGAAAGCGGGGAGAAAAAAAAACATCAAATGAAAAGCTCAGTTACACAGAGGTCTGGAACGGCAGAGAAATGTTTCCACTTTTCATTAAAAGCAGCTAAAAGGCTGACTATTTCATTTAAACATGAGTGCGTGCCAAAACCTCAGAGCTGGAAACGTCGGCGGTGCAGCATTTATGTCTTATGGAGAAACTGAAAAGCAGCAGCACAAAAACAATCTTGATGATTTATGAAGTTGAGGGACCAGCCGAAAGCCTTCATTATTACACAAGAAAATATTAACAAGGACCTCCCAAAATAAAGCAAAAATATACTCCCCATTCAGGTTTCTAGATTGCCAAACAAGAACAAAACTTAGTCGATTTCATTCAAATTAACATGGAGGATCTTTAGCAGTTTTACAGTCAAAAGATTGAAATATCAAATATTTAGAACATTAATGAGAGCACAGAAACAACATTATACAACCATCTGACATACTTGCCAGATCCTGTTTGTCTTTGATAAATACATTAAGTGCCATACTAGACTTGTTTTAATGGAACTGATATAAAAACCTTGTCTGAGAAAGGTCTGATAAGGAAAAATAAAACAGGGCAATGGGCTCCGGAACAACCATTACCATGTTTAAAAAGACCTTATTAAACATAAGTACATGCTCTTCAAAGAGAACACTTCAAGAACTGCGATGATGGCTAAAGCAGACGGTTTTTAATACGAGACTGGGTCGCAATTACAAGAATCGTGACTTTAAGAACCTGCCAGCTTTAAGGTCAAACTCCTCAGCTGACCTTAAAAATAATTCAAAACGCCTGAACCATCCAGGACAATACATTTTCTTCTAAAAGTCAAGCCACAGCAGTCCCTAAGAGTCTCCTGACACAATTCTGCCTTGTAAAAGCTTTTTACAGCACAAGTTCCCTCACATATTTCAAAAAAGAATTATACTAGGGGGGGGGGGGGGGGGGGGGGGGATGGGTACACATGAAATGTGGTTAAATATAGCTGACTTAAAGCAGTAAGACGTTGCTGAGATGGAGAGATCTGAACCAAATGTCACTCGCTTTGAAGAAGATCTCAGAACATCAAGCTAGCTGAGACCGACGAATTTACAGGGATGCTGAACTTTGCGAATCAAGCCAAGCATTCTCGGTGGATCCTGATTAAGTGAGGAGGAAAAAAGGAACATCATGCAATGCTAAAAAAAATCATTTGTGTTGAGATATTAGATTGTGGTTCTTCTGCGTGTGCGTTTGGGATATTCTGCCCTTATTATTAATTTGATACAACTTTTATTCACCCGTAAGCAGAAAAAGGGCTTTCAGGCACTTGGTGGGACACTGGTTTTAATGAGGCAGCGGGTGTTAGTGAAATATGACTAACCACATAAACTTCCATCGCGCAGTATGATGCTTAAAGAACTAGGTTGTGGGATGGTGTCCTTGAGGTATGTGCACAAGTTACAAGAATAAATGGATTTTCACAGGCTTGGGGCTTCCTCTGTCCTTCCTCTGAACCTCCGGATTTGTATCCTGACCGCGCAAATAAAAATCCTCCAAAATGACTTGAATGAAAAAGCACTAAAGTGTGCATGAATGCAGATGCACTGCAAACTCGCTTCATCTGACAGTGCTTAGACATGGTTCAGTTTTTCTATCAGTTCGCTTATTCACTCTAATGATGTGATAAAACGCGCAATTTAAGATGATATTAAACAAAATACTCATGCAGGAAAAGCATAATTTAAAGTTTTTGCGGCACCAGCCTTGAACTGAGAAAATTGACTGGCCATGAAACTGTATTTTGCATAAAAGAAACTAGAGCCATATGATTGGATACTTTGCTTGGTCTTATGCAATGATATTCAGATATTTTAAGAGTGATTTAAAGGGTCTGTTAAATCTAAAAGTGAAATTTACTCACCCTAAAGCTGTTACAAACAGATTGTGAAGAAAACTGGGGTTCAAACTAGTGGTCGACCGATATATCGGCCGATATTTGCCATTTTTTAAATATCGGCATCGGCCGATAAGTTTTCCTGTTTGGCCTATGCGTTCGAGGCGGGACATTTATTTTGACGGCGCTGAGAGCGGCAGCGCATGAGCACACAGTGCTCACATTCTCCCTCTTGATCACTATCATCATTAACAGTTCTGTCTAATACGGACAGAAATCTGTCTAATAATCAGATAGAACGGTTAAACAAAGGAATTAAAATGTATACACAAAGTATTATAACGATTGCTTTTATATTATTAGTAATAGAAAGGCAAACATTATAATACTTTCTTGTTTGCCGTCAGCATTCAGCAAATAAGCATTTATATCATTTAAACAAATCTTTGAATGACTAATAAACATTTAGTTTCACAAACCTTGCAAACTTAGTCGGATCCAGTTGTGAGATCTTGTGAAGTGTGCATTTGTATCCTGCATGATCGTGTGTTCTCTGTGTGACGGTCGATCCATGTGAATTGAATGCTGACAGGAGGAGAGTTCAGCTTCACTGGAGACGCACGATCGACAAACTTTAAACTCGTGATTTCAAATTATGCTGCGCTTTATGCATTTGCCCACTGCCATATTAATGTCATTTTCACTGTGTGCTGTATGTAAAATGAATGTTACCTTAGCTTTATTTAAGAAAATATGATTCCCAATGCACACAAACTTCCCAGAATACTGAGTGCCCTGTTGGTTACAGTGTTTACTTCCTTTTTTATTATATTTTTTATTAAATATTTATTTATTTGTGAAAAAATACTTTGTCATCTAAAGTTGGTTTGTTTAACACATTTATTTTGTAATCCATTTTCAAATTATTTTTAAATTTCTTAAATATTAATTAAAATAAATAAAATTATATCGGCTTTATTTCAGCCATCAGCTACCCTGCTTTCCAAGATATCGGCATCAGCTGTCAAAAAAACTATATCGGTCGACCACTAGTTCAAACAATATCGAACCTTGATTACTTTGACTGAAAATACTTTTTTTTTTAAATACCTTCCTTTGTGTTCCATGAAAAAAAGAAAGTCATAGACATTTGGAACATGGGGTGACTAAATGATGACAAAACTTTCATTTTTGGATGAACTACTCCTTTAAGCCTACAAGAGTCTCCAAATACTTCTTGGGACCGCTATAAAACTTGATCGCTCTTTCAGACAATGCTTAGCAGCAGTCCAAAAATGAGCTCAAGGGATCTCCAGAACTCTCTACCCAGTTAATTTGGGGAATGCATGTCGAATTGTGTGCACCCAAAGCAAAGCCAAAGCTTTAAGAGGTTGGGAAGCATTCAGCACATCCGGCAGCTGGAATGATTGCCACCCAGTTGGAAGTACAAATAAGAGTGGAAGACATTCAAAATGAATAAACAACAAAAAATTGCACAGCTTATAATGCAAAAAGTTCTGAACAAGTGAGGAAATTAGCTAAAGCCGTAGCCCAGCTCTGTCTCTGGAGACAATATTACTGGCAGGGCAAGCAAATAGCGCAAGATCCTGCTGTGAGCAGAGCATTGCGTTGATTGCAACAATGGAACATTTCGTCTAATTTTCCCACTAAAGCACTTTCCTTCCTCTTTTTCCTCAATTTTCTTAGCTCTTATTTCCTTCCATTCCTTATTACTTCCAAGCTCCATATTTAGACAGATGTAGGTAGAAGATCTAACATCTCTTCTGACACAGTGATGATAGTAGTTTTAAAAATAGGTTCTTTATTGGCATCTACAGTTCCACAAAGAAATTTTAATATCCATGGAACCGTTCCATTCCACAAAAGGATCTTTAGATTTTTAAAATGTTCTTCACACTAAGAAAAAATGTTTCTATTAAGAACTGCTAACCGAAAGGTTCATTGAGGAAGCAAAAATGGTTCTTTTATAGCATAAAAAAGTGTGCATATTCTTATTCCATATTTTTCTTTCTGCAACTACATCATGTAAAACAACCCATGCAGGTAAATATATCTGACCATAAAATAAAATTAAATGATTGTATATGATAAATATTGCACATCCCTAGTTTGAAGTTCGTTCAGAACAAGGGCTGTGAATCTAAATGTTTAAAAATGTAATTAATTACATATGCCTGATTAATTAATCAAATTAAATCAAGCTTGAATTGTGAAAAATAAATAAATATAAATAAATATTGATCAAATATTGCTCAAATTTTTTATTAAACATGTTACTTTTTAAATAATTAATCACACTAAATTAACATGTTCAACTGATATCCAAGAACATTAAAGGTATGAATTAATGAACTGACCAAACCAGAAACTCTGGAAACACACTGAGGTATCAAAGAGCCAGAGTTTGCAGGGATGACTACGCCATGGCAACCGGAAAAGGAATCGATTTCATCTGAGCTCCCAAAGTCTCTTCTTAGCCCTGGATGAAAGCAGTGCAGCGCACACAAAACCACACATCAGAGCCTGATCCTCACATTTCTGACCTAAAAACACACTGACAGAGGCACACAGCCAAAGCTCGCAGCCGGCGGTCTCATTAAGGAAAGGAGGATCTTCAGACAAACTGTTGATCATAATCACACACAGTGGAAAAACAGGAGCTACAGACTCAACTCAGTATGTGTAAACTTGTGCAAATGACATCTGATACCAAATCTTATAATACCATCATGAAAACTCGTTAACCTATGCAAATTACATTTCACACTGTGATTGGCTGCTTTTTGTTACTTTCTACCTAATATATGCAAGTATGTCTTCAGTTCCATCCAGTTTTTCCTATTTTATTATGTCATGCTTCATCTAACTGTTTCTGAACATGTAACCTTGTTATGTATGTACGCCCAGTGAATTTAAGGTACAGTGAATATGAATTAGATCATGCAGAAGTTGCTTGGCAACCTTCCATGGGCGTCCAGTCAAGTAACTTAATAAATAATCATGAAAGACACCTTTACAATAATAGGGTTAATTCGCCAGTTGATTAGCACATACGTAATGTCTTCCTAATAGCAAGTCAGGTAATTCCCCTAGGCAAACATAATTATTATTCAGAAGCACATATTACTGCTATGGTCTTTACATTTACATTTATGCATTTGGCAGATGCTTTTATCTAAAGCGGCTTGGATTACATTCAAGGTCTACATTTTATTAGTTCATGCATTCCCTGGGAATTCAACCCATGACCTCAGTGTTGCTAGCACCATGCTCTACAGTTTGATTTACAGGTAAAATGTGCTCCTTAAAAATAAAGTCACAATAGTATACCTGAAAACAGTCTGTTTTCTACTAATTAAATACTGAATTACGGCAACTCTGAATTTAGATCACTTCACCGTTGAACTGCACGCATGCAATATCAATTTAAAGCTGAGAATGGGTCCATTAGCATACGATTGATTTACGGAGATCACAGGTCAACGATCGCTTAAAGCATGCATGTGTTTTACCATACAGATAATATGATGAATCCCACCTCCTTTCTACTATAAACAATATCAGTCTATCACTTGCTTACAAAATTTGTATTAAATAGTGCCATGCGTGGAAGAAATACAGAAAGGCCACTCTGAGCACTTAAAGGCAGATGCATCCATAAAAACCCTCTAATTCTAATTCAATTCACTGGAACGTTCCTTATATTCAATAAAGCACAGCTGCACAGTTAGTCGATCTTGCCTCTCAATCCATTAAGGACGACCAGCGAGTTAATAAGCAGTAATGACAGGGAAAACAACAAGTAGTTTTAGCATAATGGATTTACAGCAACAAACACACCATTAGAGGCAGAATACACATGACAACAAATAAAGTAAAAAAAAATATGCCAAAAAAAAATCAAGATGGGAATTATCAGCCTTAATTATTCCTGTTCTTCTTGACATTTTTTTCAAGTCAACATGACTAATTGACTGGTAAATATATCAAGATGTCATTTTCTGGCAGTCAGCGGTCAAGACTGGCATCATTTGCTGTTCACAGTCTGAGACCAGTCGCTAATAAACTTGGATTAGCCTGAGTACACACAGCGATGTTAAAGAAATAATTTTCTACTAGTCAAAAAACAAACAATCCTGTCCCAAACTAATACCACTGGCTGGATGTACAATTTAGCAGGTTGCACATGAAATAGAGATAGGAGAGACTTATTTAAATTTTTGGTACTTATACCGCAAATATATATTCGTAAGGACATCAAAACCTAAAATAAAACTCCAGAAAGGTGTACAATATGGGACCTTTAAGACTGGTTTTGTTGTCCAGGGTCACATTTGACATCTGACAGGATACGTCTTAGAGACAACTAATGATTAATTAGTAAAATTCCTGAAAATCCAGTCAAATTAAACAGATACATGTAGAGGAGAGACTAATTTAATATTGAAATAATTACTTTAACTGATATCCCTATCACTGATATCACTTTTACTTTAAGGATTAATCAATGATTGATTCAATGCTAATAATTAAATTGAAATAATTTTTTTTTTAAATATAAGCAATACTATTTTTATTAGAATTAATAATTAAGATCATATTAAACATAAAAAGCTGACTATGAAAATTCTTCAAAATTAAATTAAATTAAACAGATTCAGGAAACAAATTTTCTTTAACTGATGAGAAGCATCCTATTTTATATCTGCTGAAAACAACTGCCGAATCTCTCTCTATAGTACATCAGTATTAAACTAGAGCAAGGATCAGCATAAACTACTTCTGTATTGACTGCACAAAACCTCCAGTGTTTACTAATTGCCCTTATATTACACTCTTTACACTGTCCTGAATTGCCTTATTGAATTACCATTACACTAAATGGCATTATTGTATTGTATTGCAATGTTTCTACATTACTAAAGAGGACCATAAGGCACTAATCTGCCTACTGCACTGACTTATAATTTATCTACATTAAGCTAGATTATTTTGCTGAAAAATTATATTTTGGGCTTTGCATCTATTACAATTGTTTTATCCTACCGGTACACAAGAAACCATCAGTCACAGAAGTTACCGTCTTGAGCGGTTGGTAAAACACTAAATTTCTCTCAAAATCCATATACTGAATTGGATGATTTTGAATATTTCTACTGATGCAAGTCATGCAGCAATGTCAAATCAAGGCTCTCTCACTGAAAATGTGCAAAATTAATAAACAGAAATATACGGGGGTGAATCAGTAATGCAGAATCCGCAGAGGTGGCCTTGGAGAAAAGCCACCAAGTATTAAAAACCTTGAAGGTTATGAAACATGATTAATTAAGTTGGTAAACATCAATTTCTCAAACCAAATGAGTAGTTAATGAGATGCTAGATATGCCATATTGTTTTATTAGCATCCCATAACCATGCAAAACCGTTTGTCAGTATTAAAAAAACAAACAAGGTCCTATGCACACTAAGAGGCTATTCACACAGGACAAGGGGCTGTTCCTATAATAAATGTACTTTAAAAGAATCATTTGACTAAAAATTTTATTTTGCTCAATTTTGACTCACACTCGGGCCATCCAAAATGTAGATGAGCATTTTCTTTATCTGAACTGATTTGGAGAAATTTAGCATTACACCACTTGCTCACCATTGGATCCTCTGCAGTGAATGGGTGCCGTCAGAATGAGAGTTCAAACAGCTGATAAACACCAGTTCATCAATTAACATCTTGTAAAGTGAAAAGCTGTGTGTTTGTAGGAAGCACCTCCATTATTGAGGCATTTTAAATTTAAACCGCTGCCTCTGGTCAAAATCTGATGGCATAATCCATAATAACACTTCCTCCAGTATGTGATGTGTGTTCATATCAAAAAACACATTTTGGACTCTTTTTACCTGTAAACAGTGTTTCATCTGTGCATATTTCTCTCCTGATTCAGACGAGATGGCCTTTTCACTGCAGAAAGAAATATTATGGATAGAAGACTTGTATTTTAGCCTGAAGCGGCAGTTTGAAGTTAGAAACAGTTTTTTTTTTTTTTTTTTACAAACATGCAGCTTTTCACTTCACAAGACATTTGTTGATGGACTGGAGTCGTGTGGATTTCTTGTGATTTTTTTATCAGTCTGGACTCTCATTCTGACGGAACCCATTCACTGCATTGGTGATCAAGTTATGTAATGCTAAATTTCTCCAAATCTGTTCAGATAAAGAAGCAAACTCATATACATCCTGGATTATCTGATTATGAGCACATTTCAGCAAAATTTTGTTTTTGGGTGAACTATTCCCTTGAGTCACCTTAGATGAGCTCAATAAATATACTTAACTGTAATTAATAGTGAATTTAAACGAAAACAAAAACCAGTGTGCAAGAGAGGAAAGAAAGGAGAAAGTAAAAAGAAAGACAACAAAGCATAAAACTACCTCCTGCATGCTCAGGACTTCTTTCTGCATGAAGTAGTGCTTTTTGAACTCATAATAGGAGTTGTACTGGTGCCAGGACTGCAGGAAGTCAAACCTTTAAGGTGTAGAAGACACACACATACACAGAGAGAGGTTTACATTTATTACATATTACAGTAATCTAATAGGAGCGGTGAGACCTTCGTATCTAAATGATGGCTGTAACGAGCAGGAGCATAATTGCTTACCGCGGGTCATTCTTGGCACGCACGCTGCTCTCGAATTTCACTCCGTTTCTGGCCACATACTCAGCTAGTTTGTCAATGACAGGCTGGATGTCGGGAGGAGGAGGGATGATGGCTGCGACAGGGGCGGCAGCCGCCGGCACCATGGGTGCAACGGTGATTTGAGGAGGTTGAGAACTGATGGATGAAAAGAAAAATAAAGCCAAATATAGGATTTTTGAAATATGTCAAGATCTGTAGAAAGCAAAGACAGTAGGGTGCACACCTGGAAGTTAGAGGGGCGGCCGGAGCAGAAAGTGAGAGCGGAGCTGACACCGTGACTGGACCTGCAGCAAGGGCTGATGGGATTGCAGCCACAGGATCCAACGAAGGTGTAGTGCCAGGGGGAGGAGGAGGAACAGATGCAGGAGGAGCCGGCATCATGCCAGTGGGCAGCGAGGTGTAATAAGGGCTGGCATCAATCCCAGGAGGCGGCGGGGCAAGGCAGTATGTTCCATCAGGCAGCATACAGTACCCATAGTACATTGCTGCCACATTAGCTGTGTGAAATAAACACACACACACACACACACACACACACACACACACACACACAGAGTTACTAAATCAGATGCACATCCAATGCAGGCACCTGAAACTGTATAATAATAAAACTTTTTCAGTACGATGTTTTTGAAAGAACTCACTGTCACCAAGGCTGCTCTTATTTAATTAAAAATGATTTAATTAATTTTAAAAATTTGAGAAAATTGTAGCGCTCCAAAAAGGAAAAAATAGGTGCTTGTACTGCAGGTGCGTAGACGATGCAATTCATAAAATAAAAAATACAAGCCACCCTCTTGTTCATTTTCAAATATATTTTAAAATGTAATTTATTTTTGCAATGGCAAAGCAGAATTTTCAGCAGCCATTACTCCAGTGGCACATGATCCTTCAGAAATATTTTTAGTGATATTTGTCGAGCCTTGCATTAAACATTAGTCATCAATAGCATTTCTACTTTGGTTACATACCCCAGAAAGTACACTGAGGGAACTGTTGATGCAAATTAAGAATTAAAATAATCTACGTTTGGATCACTGTTCGCATAATTAAGTTTCCTTTTCAAGTAGAAGATAAAAAGCTAGCGGAAGAGAAAAAGCGCATTCGTTTGTTCTGCTCTACCACAAATAATTAGGATCAAACTGTCCTCATATTGAGATGGCAAGCATGTAAAGACATACAGTTCTTGAAAATCACTTCATAAAGCCTAATTACAGTCAAGCGCTGCTCCTTCCCTTCAGTCAACTATTACAACAGCAAAAAGAACCATTAAACAAAGCAGTTTAAAGGGGTGGTTGATTGCGATTTCACTTTTTTAGCGTTTGTTATTGTGTAATGTTGCTGTTTGAGCATAAACAATATCTGCAAAGTTACGAAGCTGAAAGTTCAATGCCAACGGAGATATCGTATTTTAAAATTCTGGCAGTTTAATGCCTACAAAAATGGCTGGTAGGGACTACAACGAGTTACTTCCCGGGTTCGTGACATCACAATCCCAGATAAACCCCGCCCTCGGGAAAAGGCAGCAAAGGGGGCGAGGCCATGCTGCGCTGCTTTAGAGAAGAGGAAGAGAAAACTAGAGGTGCACGTAAAAATCTATTCATATATGAATCGCGATTCTGTCTTCTAACAATTCTAATGGATTCACAAGTTTCAAAATCAATGTTCTAAAGCAGCGGTTCTTAATATTGTTCCTCGCGTCCCCCTGCTCTGCACACACTCTGCATCTCTCTCTCTTTCTCTATCTCTCTCATTCAGCTCAGCAATGAACTTTTACAATTATACACTTATTTTCACAGTTATGAGAAGCGTTATACATGCGTGCAGTTGCCGTACTGTATTAAAGCTTTAATCAGGATAAAACCGTATATTAAAAGCTAACAGAAGCAGTAGCATTTACAAATAACAGCGTATCTAAAAGTATGAAAGTGATGTGACATGTGGCCAAGTATGGTGACCCATACTAGGAATTAGTGCTCTGCATTTCTCTCATCCTAAGTGCACACACACAGCAGTGAACACACACACACACACTGTGAACACACACCCGGAGCAGTGGGCAGTCATTTATGCTGCGGCGCCCGGGGGGCAGTTGGGGGTTCCAGTCAAGGGCACCTCAGTCGTGGTATTGAAGGTGGGAGAGAGCGCTGTACATTCACTCCCCCCACCCACAATCCCTGCCGGTACGAGACTCGAACCCACAACCTTTGGGTTACGAGTCCGACTCTCTAACCATTAGGCCACGACCTCCCCATATGAGAGTATGAGACAACAACAAACAAAGTATGAGACAACAACAAACAAAAAACAAAGACCTACCATTAAGACCTACCCACAATCAAGCCTAGAAAAAAAACAGTGAACCACCCCTTTAATAAGAGCCCAAAGAAAACAGAGCTATGGGTTCAAGCTCTATTAAGATCAACACAACCAAATCTGTGCTATTAGGCAAATACAGAAAATATCCGTTACATGCAAAGTTGTAAGAGTTTAGTTCATTCAAGAATAAAATTGTCATCATTTACTCACACTCATACAGGAGAACAACATGAGGGTGAGAAAATGACAAAATGTACATTTTCAGGTGGACTGTCCCTTTAAGTGAGCATAAAGGTGTTCAGACTGCACAAAGGTAAAGAGATGAACCTGCAGCACTCTGACTATGACAAAACACTAATAAAGAAACAATAAAGAAATTTAAAAGCTAGAGGAATTAAAGCAACGCCATCTCCTGGGTACTTCTGAAGTCAGGGCTGTTCAAGACCTAGAAGAGACCAATAGTCCTGCTCATTTAGGCGAGTTTAGCATTCTGTCTGACTCCAGCCACACATCAAAGAGAGCTGAAAGAGGAAGAGGAGAGGGGCGGCGGGGATCTGGATACATTTACTTCATGACTGACTGGGATGTGTGAACGCACATGTGAGTGTGGGGAGAAAGAGAGAGAGAGAGAGGAACTGAGCACAAGAGGGTGAGAGCCAAAAAGAAATGAGCAAAGGGAAAGAAAAAGAGAGAGAGCCACAAAGAGATTCTGGGAGAAAAGGAATAGAAAGAAGAAGAGAGCGAGAGACGTGTGTGGCATGTGTATCTCCACATTTTATGAAAGATGTGGCAGAACTAGGGCTGTGACTCACAATTATGACATTTTGAATAAACTACATTAAGATCAATGTTATGCAACAATATTTTATCTCTATTTATTTATTTATATGGCAGACTGTAATAAGTGGGATGAAGCACAGATACTCATTATTGCTAAATAAACCCCTTGAGCACACAGTATGGTAAATATTAATATAAACAAATTATAAATAATAATATTAGAAAAAAATATTAAAACATATTAACATGTAACTACAACGTTTATTTAAATATAATAGTATATAAAATATATTTAAGAAATTCAAATAAAAATCTTTTATTTTTAATGCAATTTGTGTTTGTAAGTGGAAGTATCAGTTTCATCAGATACCTGCAATTAGATCTAATAATCACGAACGGATGATTATGAAATAATTTTGACAAGCCTGTTTCCATCATAACCATATTACTGAATGACATCCCAGCTCCATAAAAACACAGCAGCATTCACATATCTCATAACAAATGGGTCCTTACTCCACCTCCAGCTTAGCAGGCTTCATTTTCAATGATGGGATCTAATCGTTTATGACGTCTCCCTGTGGAGATAAAGAGGCAGAGAGCTGTGGAAGATCCGCAGTCGAGCATGTGCTGCTGGATTTGACTCGAGTGCTATTTCAGAAAGATTAGCCTGAAGAATCAACAGACAATCCTCAATGCCTGAGGGAGCATGTCTCAAACGCAAACAAATTTATGCTTCCTCTGGCAAATAAGTCTGTGAGTGACTTCTCTTCAAGGAATTATGTTCTGAAACTCACAAGACACCTCAGCTGACTAAGACAGGCTTGCAACCCAACATAAAGCTGAGACCGGAACTGAGCATGAAATGTCATTCAGGAGGTTAGTGGATGAGGTAAGTCCTAATAGAATGGAATGGAAATCACAAGAAATGAACCAATTTTGGTTCTTGAATAAATTAAATTGATCAAAAGTGACAGTAAAAAGTAATGTCTCAAATAAATGTTATTTTGAACGTCTATTCAAATATTATTGATAATAATAATAAATGTTCCGCATATTAGAATGATTTCTGAAGGATCATGTGACACTGAAGATTTGCTTTGCATCACAGAAATAAATTGCATTTGAAATATATTTAAATAAGAAACAGTTAAGTAAAATTGTAATATTATTGTTATTTCACAAGGTTACTGTTTTTACTGTTTTTGATCAAATAAATGCAGCCTTGGTGAGCATAAGACACTTCTTACAAACATTCCCTTCAGAAACAAATCTTACAGACTCCAAACGTTTTAGACAGTAGTGTAGACAAATAGTATGGGCAGTGAGTAAGTTCATTCAAAACCCATTTCAACTAATTCAATGAGAGAGTAATCTGTTTTGGACCAGTGAGTTCATCTGTGACTCCTTTGTGAGTGGTTTGATTCATTTAAAAGAACTGGCTCAGAAGAGTCATTCAACTGTAAGATCACAACCCAGCCAAAACAACTTCTTTGCCGTACAGTAAACACTGTCAGAGTAGTTCAGTATGGTCTTCTATAACAATAACACAAATAACCCAATTATGCAGTTCCTACAGACACTGTTCTAACCACCATCATGACTCATTATATAAAAACAGACAACTTGTTCAACTGAGATTGCAGTTTTGGCAGCAGCTTAGTCTAGTAACAGAGCGGTTCAAAGGTCACACCTCCCCACTGTCAACATATTTAATAAACTGCATTAATCATGCGCGCTGAATGAACGTGGATCACTGAGGTCTACTGAACCCTGATGAAATGAGAGCGTAATTGTTCTAGTGATGTGAAACGGACAGAACGGCCCGCTCTTTTCCGCAGAAGAGCAACGTTTTCCTGAAGTAATGGGATGGGCGAGGTTGGCATGGCGTGTGGTGTGGCACCGGGGTGACTCACGGGCAATGAGCAGAGCATTCTAGGATGAATGAGCAGAACAGCGTGTGTGAAAAATCTGCAGTCTGCTTAAGCTGTGGCTGTAAACGAGGATATCCAAGAAGGCTTGAGCTATGCGCGTCTCTCGAGCCCGCTGAGTGTGCACTTACATGAGCCCCATGACATCCTGCCGCCAGTTAACCAAAGGAATCTGTTCAGAAAGCATTTCTGTGCTTTCGTCGTACCACATGGCTGGAACTCGGGTTGGGGTTGATAGCGACCATTTTAAATATATCAAGATAATTCAAACTTGATTTGGGCAGAGAGCGAACAATGTTTAACCGAACTTTGAATTTAGTGCCAGACGTCACTCAAAGACAAATACACAGCAAACCTCAGATACAGGCCAAAGCCTTGGAAAAATAACCCTCACATTTGGGCAGAGATTATAGGATGACTGTGGTTAAGCCTACAGAACCTCTTTGTCATGCTGTTAATCCTACAAAATACACATTTGCAGTCAAAGTAGCTTTTCTTTTGAGAAACTGGCCCACTCAAGCGCCTTCGGGCACTGTAATCCTGTGGCACTTCCCTCAAGAAACCAGTAGAGCTCCTTCAGTCAGGCTAATTGAGACAAATCAGCGGTCCCAGCTTGAGTGTTTCACCAGCTGAGCGCTAAATTCTCTATTTCCAATAAAAGGTGAATTGTTCGTTCCCCACAGTATCTTAAATCCTTGTGAGTTAACGTAAGAGGACCAGCTAACGGCAATTGGTTTAAAAAAGTTTTAGCACCATGGGATTCTAAAAGACAAAAACCTTCTGTTATTCTCTATGGTCAAAATAAATCTGCTGGCACTTGACATCATAATTGACTGGGCAGTTCCTTTTTCTTTTTTTTAAAGTATGACTAGGTTCAATGATAAAGCTCTGAGTATGTAGTAGGGCAATCAATGAATCAATAATTATGGATTTTGTCATAATCGTCCTACAGTTTTATTACCAATGATAAGTTTAACATTTGGAACTGCCAACCTAAATAATGAAGGCAAGCACCAGCAGATTTATTTTACCAAAAAGACAGTTGTATTGCATTAAAAATAGTTTTATTAATTACAAAAAAAAATATATAGCGATGGCCAAAATTATTAGAACAATAGTATTTTGACCAGATAAAAAATGGTTTTAAGTCAGTTATTTATTTCTTTATATCCTGAAAGAAAACATATGTTGAAGCACTACACTTACTAAAGCTAAAAATAAATTAAAGCCAAATAGCAAATAGAGCAAATAATAAACAAAGTACATAATAACCTTAATAAAACTCAATTTAAAACTGAAAATCTAAAATAAAAAAGCTATTTTAAAGTGATAAAAAACGAACTGTTTTTACAATGCTGATTTTTAGAATTTACATTAAAGTACTTATTTACATCTCCATTATGTAGACTACACAAAACAAGCTGAGAACGTTGTTCCTAAATTAATTAATTGCCATTTTATCAGTAAATCAAAACTTCAACTTCACATCTGTCCTTTTAGCAGCAGCAAAAACAATTTTGGTATCGATCTACACAAAAGCAGAATGTTCCCTTCCCATTATAATCAGCAAATCTGTTATTGCACGAATCTCTTATTTGCGCTCTTGATGATAATAGGACTGTTCTAGTTGCAGCGTATATCGGTACTACACTGCAAGCAAGTGCTGCAATATCAAGCAAATCTAATATTATTCCAAATTACCACAGATTACTTTTCACTTTGACTCTAAAGCTGCTTTTTGAGCATCAGGTGCACTCATTTTGGCACCACTGACAGAAAGCACACATCTGTGGATCAGACTGCTTCAAACTCACTCTTTAGGAGCAGATGTTGTTACTGACAGACTTATAGACTATTTTGAGCACCTCCAATTCACGCACACATCGAACATGTCTGTGATTGGCTATGGTACTCATCAGCTGCAAAAATCAGAGGGTGTAGTGAGAATCAATTCAAGTGGTGAAAGAAAAACTGCCTTTAAGTAAAAGGTGAAAGTGACGTGACATGTGGCCAAGTATGGTGACCCATTCTCAGAATTAGTGCTCTGCATTTACCCATCCAAAGTGCACACATAATCGTCCTACAGTTTTATTACCAATGATAAGTTTAACATTTGGAACTGCCAACCTAAATAATGAAGGCAAGCACCAGCAGATTTATTTTACCAAAAAGACAGTTGTATTGCATTAAAAATAGTTTTATTAATTACAAAAAAAAATATATAGCGATGGCCAAAATTATTAGAACACTAGTATTTTGACCAGATAAAAAATGGTTTTAAGTCAGTTATTTATTTCTTTATATCCTGAAAGAAAACATATGTTGAAGCACTACACTTACTAAAGCTAAAAATAAATTAAAGCCAAATAGCAAATAGAGCAAATAATAAACAAAGTACATAATAACCTTAATAAAACTCAATTTAAAACTGAAAATCTAAAATAAAAAAGCTATTTTAAAGTGATAAAAAACGAACTGTTTTTACAATGCTGATTTTTAGAATTTACATTAAAGTACTTATTTACATCTCCATTATGTAGACTACACAAAACAAGCTGAGAACGTTGTTCCTAAATTAATTAATTGCCATTTTATCAGTAAATCAAAACTTCAACTTCACATCTGTCCTTTTAGCAGCAGCAAAAACAATTTTGGTATCGATCTACACAAAAGCAGAATGTTCCCTTCCCATTATAATCAGCAAATCTGTTATTGCACGAATCTCTTATTTGCGCTCTTGATGATAATAGGACTGTTCTAGTTGCAGCGTATATCGGTACTACACTGCAAGCAAGTGCTGCAATATCAAGCAAATCTAATATTATTCCAAATTACCACAGATTACTTTTCACTTTGACTCTAAAGCTGCTTTTTGAGCATCAGGTGCACTCATTTTGGCACCACTGACAGAAAGCACACATCTGTGGATCAGACTGCTTCAAACTCACTCTTTAGGAGCAGATGTTGTTACTGACAGACTTATAGACTATTTTGAGCACCTCCAATTCACGCACACATCGAACATGTCTGTGATTGGCTATGGTACTCATCAGCTGCAAAAATCAGAGGGTGTAGTGAGAATCAATTCAAGTGGTGAAAGAAAAACTGCCTTTAAGTAAAAGGTGAAAGTGACGTGACATGTGGCCAAGTATGGTGACCCATTCTCAGAATTAGTGCTCTGCATTTACCCATCCAAAGTGCACACACACAGCAGTGAACACACACAAACCATGAACACAGGGTGCCGCAGCAAAAAAATGGCTGCCCACTGCTCCGGGTGTGTGTTCATGGTTTGTGTGTGTTCATGGTTTGCTCCACCCGGCGCAGTGGGCAGCCATTTTTTTGCTGCGGCACCCGGGGAGCAGTTGGGGGTTCGGTGCCTTGCTCAAGGGCACCTCAGTCGTGGTATTGAAGGTGGGAGAGAGCGCTGTACATTCACTCCCCCCACCTACAATCCCTGCCGGTACGAGACTCGAACCCACAACCTTTGGGTTATGAGTCCGACTCTCTAACCATTAGGCCACGACTTCCTTAACGTCGTAAAGTTGTTGAATTGGAACTGAATGAAGATAAGGAGGTCACGATGGGCAATCTGCCTACTTTAGTACTTAATTTAATGAACTTTGCTCGCATTGAAGGGTCAGCTTTATTGCCATGTTCACTCAAGGACGCCCTGAAAATCAATCATCCTAAAAATAATTCAAGATGTTAATGATTTGCCACATTCTTTAAAGAGCTGGCATTGTAGTTCTCACCCACTTCCATTAAAAGGCTCTTTTTAAGAGGACATATGTCTCTGTTCATCAGCAAGAGACAAGAACGACCAACCTCATCCAAAAAAGACCAACAGAACTCTATCATGCTGCAGTTTCAGTTTGTCCAGCTTTATGGTGCATTTTATGTCTTAGCACACTGCAAATGTCAAGCCCATTTATGGTCACCATGTGTAAAAACACAAATCTCTTCTTTCCGTAGAGCAACCAAATTCTATCTATCTATCCATCTATCCACCCATCCATCCATCCATCCATCCATAATATACATACAGCTGCACAAATTGAAACAATGATATACATGATACTAAATAATTAATAATAATTATTATGATTATTATTGTTGTTGTTGATTATTATTATGATTATTATTATTATTATGTACAGGGCTGCAAAATTTATGAAAGTACATTTAAAATCATGATATGCATGGTTTTGGAATTTTAGAACTTCTTTATTACTGTATTATTATTATCATTATTATTATTAATGAATAATACTATGAATAAGACTAAGACTAAGAATAGGAATACGAGGTTACACTTTATTTTAAGGTGCCTTTGTTACAGTGTAATTTTACGGAGTAATATTTATAAACTACATATACTCACTGTATGGTTAGGTTTAGGATTAGGGTTTGGCTTAGGGTTACTTGCATGTAATTGTGTAATTTATTGTTATTATAATAGTAAGTACATGTGCAGACCTAAGGTCTTCGAACTTCTAAAAAGTTGTTTGAGGACCTTTTGTCAACCATATAGATCACATGTTGATTTGCCATTATACTCACGGTCAGATGTGTATTCTGCCTGTGTGGCTACTGCCGACGACTGATGCTCTTCCTCTGCTTTGGTCACCATTGCTGCAGCGCCATAATTCTCCTGTTGGGCTTTTCGAACAAGCGCAGCCAACGGGTGATCTGGATCAATGACCTGCAGAGGCTAACACATAAAAACATAAGGTCAACAGGGTGTGCAACATTTCCCTCAGCATATACAGTATATATATATATATATATATACCACCCAGAAAATGTGTGTAAAGCTGTTTAAACATAAAAGAAATGTAAAAACACCATATGAACAGAATAAATCAGGTTTTAAATCTAGCTAGTGTTTTGTGAGACCCCTTGGAAGCAATTCACTGCAGCACATTGGTTTGTAGTTTCCTCAGATGGCTCTGTGACAGCGCCTTCCAGGCTTCTCACAGAGTTTGGCTGCACTTAGGTATTTTCCTTGTCCATGTGATCAGACACAGCTCCAATTGTGTATAAGGTAGCCACTAGCCAGTATAAAATTGTATAAGAATAAGACGTATGCCATATTGGGATGTCACTATGAACCAAAGATTTGAAGTCTGCACTCGTCTCTCCTCAGTACTTTCTGCCACTGGATGTCACTCCATGCTTTATAAACTTTTGCATGCTGTCATCACTTCTGATTCTTGCCGTCCTGCATGAACGGTTTCTTTCCCTACCTTGTGAGACTACTTCTTTTTAGATGACGTGCTGAACACGCACTTTACTGGATTCCTTTCAGTCCCCTAAGGAGGTGACCTTTTAAGTACCGTTCACCAGATGCAGCTTTTTCTGTCTTGCAGTGCATTTTCTGTCTAGTCTCTACAAATGTCTACATGCTATTATGACACTATGCCTTCAAAATCCAATTTGCTGGCCTGTTGCTCACTGAATAACAAACTTATATTTTAAGATACAACATAGGGGTGAGGAAATAATGACAGAATTTTCATTTTTGGGTGACAAGCTTATTCACCACCAGAGGTGCAATATTACAAATATGAGCTCTTTAATATTCATCACATCAGCAGAAATCATTCCTCAAGGGCTCATATTTCAAGCTTATAAATGAATGAACTCTTTGGGCAAAAGGTTCTACCCTATGGGTATGAAATTGGCTTCATTCTTTACATTTCCATTCATAGAGACTAAAGAAAATGTATGAGAAACGACAGAAGTATGCAAAAGAAAATGTCTATAAGAACAAGCCATAAATCACTAAAAAAGAGCAAAAGTTTGTTGATCATGTTTTTTTAAGCTAAACATCTGGATTTCTGTGATATATTGAACATTCACATTGCGATCTCTGATGATTTAAATATGTCAAGGAAGTCATTTAGCTGGCTTACATAAATGAGGTCTTGTGGAAATTGCAAAAATGATTTGTGATAGTCTTCAAAGCATCATTTAAAATGGGATGAAAATTATAAACAAACCACCATATGCCATAATTTTTCCAGCAAGTCTGTTTATGAATTTATAGCCATCCTGGAATTTCATTAGAACGGCATAATTTCTTGGTAATTTAAAACCCAATAAACCTAATAAATGTAGATGCTATAACATTTATATTAAAATTAATTACATCATATAACATTATGATACAACTTCTATATTATAAATGTAATTTACAAGTAAATGTTACACTGGAATGCTACAATTCTACATAAATATGTGACAATGGTATAAGAAACATAAATATATATTGCAGTGAATCTTTTCAGAAAAAATATTTATTATATTTATATTTAGCAGGGTAAGTTCAAATCTAAACTACTTGCCTGACCAGACCAACAAAAAATATTTTTTTTATGTTTTTACACTGATTCAAATTACATTCTGCACAGTGCAAACTTGATAAAGCTGCTTGTGTCATTACGAATGCATGACTGGTTACTTGAGCTGCAATTAAGTTATCAATCCACCATAACATGTGGGTGGCATAAATCCCGTTTTCTGGAAGAACCAGAACACACAGGTTGACTAAGCCACAGAAAAACATGACACGCAGAGAGATCTCAAGCGTAAGACCTGAGATGAATGTTCAACAGTCACTCTTCCTTTAGCATCACAAAACTTAGTTTAATAATTTCTGACAATTCTGGCAGTACTTGACTGTAATAACCAGGAGTTAGCTCCTTTAAACAAATTAGATGAGTCTTGAAAAAGAGAAAAAAAAATAGTTTATATAAAGTTCATGATTGAAATGCAAACTTTATACTGTCAAGGCGAGAGCGGAAGACATCTATTAGGAAACCAAATCAGATAACATTAGTTTATTTTACAATCTTTTATCTCTAATGTCTCTCTGTGTCAGTCTCCAAAAAAATGACAGAGCAACTCAGATTAAACATACAGAATATTAGATGAAGAAATCAAAGATATAAGCATCTGATGAGAACTTCATATCCTTATTTGAACAAACATATAAAAAGGGAACACTTTGATGTCAGATGCTTTCATTTCAGGCCCAGTTCTGCCAAGAAATATAACAATTTAAGAGCAATTTGGCATTAATTTTGAAATGCATTGCTTTGAACACTTATCCAACGAATTAGAAAATAATAGTAACAGTCTATCAAGTTGGGTAAACGGAGTACAAAAAAAAGCACAGTGTTTATAGCAGGGGGTTAAATTACACGTCATTGCTGTTTTAGTTATGAACGCATGTGTAAAAAATGTGATCCAGGGTACACGGTACATAATCACAGTCTGAAAACTGTCAAATGAGTGTATTAATATTCCTAAACAACATGGGGTATGTTTGAAGCCGTACCTTCATTATTTCCTCCAGACGAGAGATCTTCTTGGATGCAAACAAACTCGGGTGCAGATAGCTTCCATCTCCATCATCATCATCATCATCATTGTCAGAATTGTCTGACTTTGATTCTGTTCCAAAAGGGCCAATTGATTGGATTGTTAAATGACTTCAGAAATGTTCAGATTTGTTCATTATTCTTAAAACAATTGATTAATTCAACTTGTTAAATTTACGATATATACTACAAAATGACTGACAAAGTGACACAATATATACAACCATTCAAATGTTTGAGGTTTACAAACTGTTTTAATATTTTTGTTTTTAAAGGGGTCATATGACGTTGCTAAAGAACATTATGCTGTGTATTTGGTGTAATGAAATGTGTTTATGCGGTTTAAGGTTAAAAAAACACATTTTCCATATAATGTACATTATTGTTTCTCCTCTATGCCCCGCCTTTCTGAAACGCGTCGATTTTTACAAAGCTCATCATTCTAAAAAAGCGAGGTGTGCTCTGATTGGCCAGCTATCCAGTACGTTGTGATTGGCCGAATACCTCAAGCGTGTGACGGAAATGTTACACCCCTTAACATACTGTGATCATGCCGTCTCCCAGCAGCTCTGCTCGTGCACATCCCATCATCGGTTCTCTTTTAGCAGTTCAGTCAATGTACTGTTAGGAGTAACTGAATAACGGTTTATTTCGCATCAGAGAGAGTGTCAGGCACGTTTATAAACCAAATAATTTAAGTAATTAGTGGATTAGTGCGTACTGGAGACGCAAACCGTTTCAAACGATTCAGTTCGATTTGGTGAACTGGTTCGACCGGTTCA